ACTTACCTCGTCGTTATATATGTCCAAACCAAGTTCACTTTTAACAGTTTGAAAATATTTGGGCATTGGGTATATGATATTCATTATAATAAATGTTTTTGTATTTTCCAATGAATGAAGAAAACAATGTCGTTTTGTTTTTCATTCATTGGGAAATTTAAAAACCTTTATTATAGTAGATTACCTCGTTGTGTTTCCATACAAGTCTTTTAGCCTTCTTGAACATTATGGAATTTAATATGTCATGAGTTTGTTAATCCTTAAGTCACATGAATTTTTAATTTACACTAGTGTGACTGCAACAAGTACATAACTTTGCGGAGAAATCATCTTTTTAATCAGTTTTCCGATTATTTAATTGTTATCTCCTGAAGTAGGATCGGATGCATCTCCTATTCTCAGTTGAATGGCCTTTTCATGTCATTCTGCTCGTTAAGGTTTAGTTTTATTTGAAAGGAATGACGAAATTTATCCCTTACATTAGTTCATGGTATTATACTTCATCTTTTGTTATAGAGAGTGGTCCCATATGTTCCATAAATAAGTCAATAAAATTCCATATATTTGTCCCAGTCTACACGGTTGTGGTCTTTGGACCTATTTGTAAAGACTGGATATGTTGTCAATACATAACATCTAACTGCTTTAACCACCGAGGTACCTGATTTCTACAGAATGCAATGCGTCAAATTGCTTCACTTATACTTTTTTTCAACCACCTATTCATATATTTGAGAAACCTACGTACTCACGTGAAGTTTTGAATAGACATTCAGCTTATCGCTTGGTCTGTTTTGAAGAGACAGATATATTGCAGATAGAGCGAACGTCCGTCCAACTATGCACTATGAGTTACCGTTTCTACTTGGAGATTCTGTATAAGGAGTAAAAGTTGAAAATTCTATACCTTATATGAACATATTGTTTAGAATAAATCTATTATTATTACTATAGTCCTACTAAAACGGATGCACACTAATTATGCAGTCATTTCCTCCTAATCTGTAAGAATAGATAGAGAAAAGAATATTCTTTCAATAGTAATATATATTTGTATGTGATTGAAGTTAAAATGGACTTTGAGAAAAAGTTTATAAAATTAGTCGATCAGCTCTATCTTAACTGAAGACGCTGTAACTATGATTACAGGATAAATGAAGGGTGAAATGGTGTCCGAAGCTGTGCGATTCATACTCATTATAATAGAATTTTAGGTGCATTCATCATCAAGATGGAAACTAGCCATATAGTTAGCTAGTGTTTATTCGCTTCACTTTAGTCTATTTTGTTAGCCCGTGTTGTCTTTGGGTACTGTAAAAGTCCAAAACATACTGATTATGTGGACCAGAATATGCTTGCTTTAGAATGGCTATTGACCATGGAAATTTAAATCAGTCATTCCTACAGACTATTATTAAATCACTAGAATGCAAGTTCATAGTTGGATATAGTGAATTCTATTCCTCTTCTACATTTGTGAATTATTGTCGTATTCAAACGGACTACTCCGATGCATTCCATTTTTCATCAGATAGTGAGTGATATTACAAATGAAGCTTGTCTCATGTGTGTAAAAGGGAGTGTTCAGTGTGAATCATTCTTTAGACTACTTTCAAATTAAGACTAGACTAACCCCTTCCAATTGTATCTACCGATTCAACTGTGCTTGTGATGGAGCGAGTTATATCGGCCGTTGCTCTAGGAACTTGATTCTTCTTGCTCGAGAACATCTCCCACTATGGCTAAGTAAAGGTGTAGTGAAAACCATTAGCAGCTCGATATTAGACCATCTGGTCCGAACCGGCCACAAAGCCAGCATTGAAGAATCCTTCTCTATCATCTACCGGGTGCCAAATAAATTGCCAAAAACATCGAAGTACCGCATGATCCAAACAGCAGAGGCTATTGCAATTCGCATGAAACAACCAGTGCTTTGTGTGCAAAAGAAGCCACTACTACAGTAACAACAGAAGACAAAGGCCAGGCAACAGAACGTTTATTACGGAAAATCAAAACATATTTATAGATTTTGATGTACATTATTGTATGTTAATGTTAGTAGAAAATACAGTCTGTTGATTGGTTGTTTCTCACACAAAGTTAACCTTGAATCTCTTGTGGCTGTGTCAGTTCATCTATATGTTAACTGTATCCGCCTGTTCATCTTGACCTTGTTTTCACATGACTAACATTGACCTCAATTACTGTCAACCAATTTGGCTAGCAACCATCTCTCACCACACTACTACTGCCATGGCCTTCAGTAGAGACTATAAACTCATGAACTTATAATATTATCTTTCCTAATTTTCCTGACATTCAGTTTTTTGACATGTTGATGCTACTGAACTGTAATCTATTGATATTATTGATTCGATGTTATTTAAACATTAATGTTGTTCATAACACTAATTCATTCATTCACTATAATGTATATGTAACTGTAGAGCCTGATGATGAAGTTATCGAAAAGAGTATTCTTTTTTCAGTAACCATTCTTTTGAAAATACACCGTCTTTTATTGATCAGCGTCCATAAACAAAATCAATTTCGAGGACGAAGTGTACAATATTTGCAAGCCAAGCTTCAATTAGTCACTCCACGTATGCTTCAAGATCACATAATAATGAGCAACGCAGCAATTCAATCAACAAGTTTTAGGAATTATAAAATATTTCGCATTGTTCCGCTGTGACCAGTTTATGACTAGATTTTAACTCACAACACAGTGTCGCTTTATAGAGATTCCCTAAATTTTTATCAAAGGCTTTAATTCATTCTATTACGCCTTATCGGAAAACAACAACAAAGAATACTCTGGTATACTGAACTTTACACTTTATTAAGTAATTTATTGCCGTTTAGGTAAAATACCTGGTTATATAAAACTACTAAGCTAACAGTTAAGTGATTCATAACTTTTCTTGTATAACTAGTTACCTTTATTAATTAAAATAAACTTCATACGCCTAGAATTTCTGTGATCTTGTATTTGTTTGTTTTCGAGCGGCAAAATTAGACTGTATTACAAATTACTGTAGCTGCCTACCTCAAATGTCTGACGTGGTAAAATGATTTCATAGTACACTTAGTCGATACTGGTATTGAATGTGTTTATCCAGCGCTTCTGAACTGAACTGGTAAATGATGCATTCTCATCTTAATTCACAGAATTTTGTGGTTGTATGCTTTAACTAATATTGTTCCGTTGTTTTATTTGGAGTAGTGATCGTGGTGTGATAAAATAAAAGCCTACTAAGACTCATTTTTCATTTAAATAAATTACTGAAACTGTAAACGCGACTGGTGACTGCTTGCGAAAGGAAATAACTGGAAAATAGTGATGTATAGCTTCTATGTGAAGTTGTCAGAGAAGTCATAATTTATCGGTAAAAATTTTATCATTTTACAGAAGAGAATTTCTATTATTATACATTACACATTGTTATGCATTCAAAAACTGTATATGATGATGGTAATTAAAGGTAGTAAAACAGATGGAAAAACAAACTTGATTAGTCCGTAAGTCTAAAGGTCAGACTAATTTCTGGTCATTTTTGTCACTTCTTCAGCGCTCATCATTAAGTAATCTTGTGGTTCACTGGAACTTAGTATCCAAACATATCTGTTTACGGCTGTGTTGTCATCAAATGTAAGTATATTTTTATGCACAGACTTTTGTACAGTGATACTGCTGAATTATGTGGTTTGACGATACCCCCAAGTCATTATACCATGTAGTCAAGAATTCGATAACATGCAAGGCGAACTCATTACTCCTTTGTTTAATTAGGTCTGATATATCTGGAGATAAAGAATGTGAAGTAAAGACATGCCATAAATCAACGAGCAACTATCATATTCCCCACAAGCTTTCATAAGAAAATTCGAAGTATTTCTCCCTCGGTCATGTGAGCAATATTTATCTTAAGAAATTCCCATTCAAATTTAGTTCCATCTACAAGGTTTCGCATAAAGTAAGTACACTGGGAAATAGTTGAATCTCTTATATTTTTGGGCACTTGAAACACTTATCCGGCACTATTGATTGAATACGAATACTGATTAGTCAACTTTGATGGTTTTCAGAAAACTGCAAGTTCCAATAAAACTGTGTTTATTCACAGTGAAGTATTATCTACATACATGCATGTTAGTTAGCATATTATAAACACCTGTACTGACTGAACTACTGACACAGGAAGTGGACACTATCTATTGAAAGCAGACCCGATCAAGCGAACGAAATTTGAAGTATTCCGAGAGAAATTTGAAGTGTATTTCGTTGGCTAAAATAAAGAAACAACATGGATGCATTAGGCAACAGTATTTACACGAAATTACTCTTTTCAGATATCTAATATTTATCAGCTAGTTGCTAATACATTACTGTCTAATAAAAACACTGAACCAATTTTAATTGCATTATCTAAATTTCAGTGGATGTTATGATCCTTACTAGTATCTAGTTCAAGTGGTGCAAATCATCGAAGTCACACAACTGTCTGTTGCGGAAAAAAAGCACATGGGAGAAATACTAGGAAGAAGTAAAGCTTGCCTGCTAATTGTATAAATTGAAGTGATTTAACCGCAATTTCAGTTTACCTTGGATGATTGAAGCTATTGTAAATTCGCATACACTAATCTGTTTAAGTGATTACAACTTGAAGATATTTATACTTCTTTATGGTATTGCAAAAGGTGTACAGACTTCAGGATTGAGTATACAGCCTTTAAGTGAAATTTCAGTCAGAATGTAGCAACTGTTTACTGACTGATGTTAAGTTTAATTAATTCGATTTTATGTGTAGCAGAACACTGAGATTTTGTTCTCTAAACTTCGATATTAGTTCGTGGACGTCGGAAATCGGACAATCAAAATATTTTGTAAATATATACGTAGCCTTCTTGCCGGACCCTTGTATTTCATCAGGCTATGAGTGCAGGAAGAGATTTTTTATCACGATAACGTCTATAATCTCAAATTTCATTGGATTATCCTACAGAATATTTTTGTTATAATGTAAATGCCACCCTCCTTTTTTGTCTTCACTGTTCTTAATTGTTGACTCATTTGGCTGCTGCATTGCTGGTTGACAATAAGACAAAATCTAAACAGGGAAAAAACTACCGTGCAACTTAAAAACATACCTCACCTAACAACAAAGTTATTCCTGAGAATGTCAAAAAACTTAATGATGAAACCTTCACGAGGATGCCCGGAAACTTATACGGCAAACTTTACTTCACTTTAGGTGGTCTTAGATGATCGAAATTAACTGGTAAGTCCAGATGGGTCTATTTCCACCTTGGAGGTACGAACTCCCATCATCGGGTACTAAAATCACAGACGTTACAACTAAGCTATTTCAGCTAAGACTCAACGGCAGTAGATCTGTAACAGATAAACTGATTTGTTACTAAAGTATAACGAGTGACCTTATTAATTAAGTCCTGTCTAGTTTGGACTTATATTCTATTGTGGTGAGAGATGGTTGCTAGCCAAATTGGTTGACAGTAATTGAGGTCAAAGGTCAAGATGGACAGGCGGGTACAGTTAACATATAGATGAACTGACACAGCCACAAGAGATGCAAGGTTAACTTTGTGTGAGAAACAACCAATCAACAGACTGTATTTTCTACTAACATTAACATACAATAATGTACATCAAAATCTATAAATACGTGTTGATTTTCCGTAATAAACGTTCTGTTGCCTGGCCCTTGTCTTCTGTTGTTACACTATCATACTGCCCAAATTCTTCTTTCACATCAAGCAATCATTGTCAAGTTTTAGTCCTTAGTACTGGCTGAACTCTGTTAGTCAAGTGTGCTATGAGGTCACCAAGCAAAGTGAATCCTCATGTTGGTGAAATTTCAATCAATATAAGATGTTCGAAGGTAATCAGTAACAAGGTAAACATATTTACTCAGAAGAAAGAAACGTTCATGGTTATGCAAAGAACAACTGCATAGTTTTTTCGATGAAATCTTTAACAAAATATTATGCTGTTTACTTCTACTTACCTGAAAGTACTATATCTGACTGATCGATCTTTCTAGTAGACACAAAGCTTTTATCCTTTTTATTTTCTGGCTTTGAATGATGGTTAATATGTAAAATTTTTGGCTGTTTGTGAATCGTGGAATAATTGCGCTTTCTTAATTCAACCGGGCTTAACCAGCTGATTGGGCATCTGGTAATATCTGCTCCAGCACTAAGTTGAACATTCCATTGACATGGTATTTCATATAAAAGATCTGCATACTTGAATACAACCATATTCATTACATCCTGGAACAGAAATTAAGCACCAATAATGTTTGATTCTATGTCTCATGTGTTGTAGGCTAATTTTAACTTACAGTGATCATCTAAACCAAAATATCCTACAGGTATTTATTAATCAGATTATTTTCATTAGAATGTTCCACAATTCCTGTGGCAGAAAACGTATCCAATGTGATCTTCAATCATACCTATCTTCGGATTTTTCCTCTATTCCAATGTATGTTACCATGTTAAACAGCTATGATTTTTCAGTACAACCCGACTTCTACTTTTGTTACTCAGTAATTACTCAGTTTTTCTTATACTCTACTGACCTTTTAATTTTTATGTTTAACCCAAAGGCTTTTGGTATATTTCTAATTTGTATATTGAGCACATGTGCGTCAGTGGTATAGCGGTTAGTACGCTCACCGACCATGCACATGGTCCGGGGCTCGATCCCCGACCGACTCACTCCTTTACCTCGTTAAGCCAGAAATAATGCTGGTGAAGAGGAAATGTTGGGCATGAGGCTAGCAACCCCATCCCGTAAAATAAACACTGCTAAAGAAACTTCAAGCCACTAGCTTGAGGCCCTATGTTCCACTTGGGAACGTGAAGGAAAAAAAAGTATTGAACACATGGGTGGATAAATGTTTTAAATCATGAAAATAAGTGAATACTTTTATATCAATTGACAAGCATCCCTTTCATTCAAAACTTTCTCTTTATCTACCTCTAAGTAAAAGGAAGGCTAATTTTTACAAAATGATTTAGAGATTAGAATATACTTTGCCGTTATCATATTTAACGCGATAGTAAGTGAATTTTCGTTCATATGAAGTTTCAACAACATTTTAATTAGTTATTTTAGTTGGAAATGCCATAGAATGGATAAAACTTGTAGTGTTACAAACTAAAATATCTTACATACATCAGCTTCGTTCCGAAAAAACTATTTATTATTACTTCTGTTGCCATTTTTCTCAAAAGTGGAATGCTAAGAGAAAACAGTGCGTCGGTGGCATAGCGGTTAGGACGTTCGCCGACCATGCATATGGTCCGGGGTTCGATCCCCGGCCGGTGCACTCCTTTACCTCACTAACCTAGAAATAAAGCTGCTGAAGAGGAAAGGTTGGGCATGAGGCTAGCACCCCCATCCTGTAAAAAATAAACGCTGTTACAGAAACTTCAGGTCTCTAGCTTGAAGCCCTATGTTCCACCGGGAACGTGAAGGAATAAAAAAAAAAGAAAACAACTCTCCAGTGCTGTCACGTTTTCAGTGATTCCCGTTTGCATCCATCTCCGTATCATTTCACTACTCATTTATTGATTTAATATGCCAAGGCGCAGAGGGTTTTGAACATTTCTAAAGTGAATGACACATGTCTAGCACAAAATGAAGTAAATGCTGGCTACTGTATGACAGTAAATACGAATTCATTATTCTACAATCTGGAGAGGAACATATTTAAAACAACTGTTCACGCAAAAATATCTCTTATTTTGAATACACAGTGAGAATTCTCAAAAATGGAAGATTACGAGTACAGTAGAAACTTAACATATTTATTCTAATGCATTTGAGCAGTGTCACAGTATGCTTTATACTATCAACTATACAAATTATAGACATACAACACAAACTGTAATGAAATTAAATACAGTAATATTTCAGAATTATACAAGCATGCATGAAATACCCCCCAGCTTACCTGTTCCCCAGTTTCTAAGTAACCCTTACTACCCATTAGGTAAGCAGTTACACCAATCCAGATTTCATTCCACATGATGGATCGTAGTTTGAACAGATCAAATAATAAAACCCCACCATTGTATCCGTAGCCCTGACATAAATTATATTCAGAAGAAATGTTATATTAATTGCATTAATTAAATTATGATGACTCTTCCTCCTTTCTAAAGTACGAAAGTTTACGTGTGACTGTACCCTGACTTAACATTTTTGCACAACTTGGGGGTACAACATGCATTAATAGACTAATTTTTCACTAGGAATGACTTTAAATTTTACTAAAAATTCACATATACAAGTAGAGATCAAACATTATTTTAAATGAGCTAATAAAGTAGTTATAAGAATGTGCTCGAATAGCTTACTGATAATGACTCTGACTACAGCAGTAAGTTACGCAGGCTTGATTCTCAGAAAAGAACTGAGTTCCTCTAAGATAGCAGACACGCTTTACTGATGATCTTCAAGATTCACAAAACCCAGGTCCAGGGATTTTTGCCAACCGCCTTCAACTACTCAACACCAGTAACTTTTTTGTCGGATCAGTTCAATATTGAACGACACAGAGATTGGCTTAACTCTTGTGCGGGGATAACAGACAAAATCGTGAATCGTTCTACATTTGTTAACCTCGCCTACCTCACTAGCCCATTCTAAGCCTGGAAAAGAGGGAAGATTGGGCGTGAGGTTAGAAATCACACTCCGTAAAAAATACACCATCACCATTGCTGGAGAGTAAAAGCTTAGGGAATCTAGTAGACCAATGTATTTTCTTTTGAAGAAAGCGAAAGCAAGCACGGGGGCATTGAAATTCAGCGCCATGTCTTAGGCTAACTGGCAGGGCTGCTCAGATTGCAGAAGAAGCGAGAGGATATAGCATAGAAATCTGAGAATACCCAAAGCATCTACACAGAAATAACCTATGATCAATGGCTGGGTGTTGCATACATATATATATGCATGAAAATTTTAAACTTACTCTCCATTCTTTAATCAGTTTCTTCATCACGAAATGGAAATGAGGATTTTGCTCTACAGCCATACCTATCATCTTTGCAAAAAAAACATGATAAGGTCACCTCGAAATTTGCCCGGATGCACAATGTCGACAATAATGTTAGGTCACGAAAAATACCTATTTATTCATAAGTAAAAACACAGTTTTTTTGTTCAACGAAGAAATATTTCTTTTCAACGACTTCATTTTCAAGCTGTATAGTCGTAATTATGTAACGTAAAAAGGCATTAAGAGGCACTAGAAATTGCTCAGTCAATATACATATATATATAGGTGATAAGAATAACGATAATTAAAATTTTATAAGGGGTAGAGTTGAAGTGGATAAATTGCAAAATTATTAAAGATTGTTTTATAAGTGAATTGATATCAAAAATATTTTTTAATGTCAAGCGTTGTCTAAACATTTTAAAAATAAGGAGTACGATTACAATAAGAATGAAGATGTGAAGTGAAGTGGAAAGAGTTCAAGTGGTAAAATAAAATAAAATGAAAACTAGAAAGAATATTACTATGACCAAGGTTAAGAAGGGAGTTTGACAAAACGTTTTTGAACACATAATTTAGGTTTCTGTTCATGTATAACTAAAGCTTCAGCTATGCATACGTGAAGAAAATGTAAACTATTGGAGTGATTCGATTTTGCATTGTATATAACCTTGAAGGGTGAATCACGTGGGACTGAATGACCAGACTCTTACAGGTGATCACAAATAGACGACTTCGCAGTTCTACGTTCGGCTTTCAATAACAAAACCGGAAAGTGTTCAGCTATACGTTTTCGGAGAATACGCTTACAACGTCCAACATAATCAGCTCCACAGGAGCAGGTAAAAGAGTAAATGCACATAGATGTGGACATAAGCGGTAATCTATTCTTGACGCATTGTCTAATCATATTTCGGCTGGTAAAAACTAGTTGCAAGTCAGCTGCAGGAAAAGTGCGTTTAACACATTTAGATAAACGATTTTTAATGAATTCAGAAATGGTGTCACTTCTGAATGCAAGACTCATAAACATTTATTTCTTTGGCACTGTGATTTGTCTAGGGGCGGATTCTTTCTTGATGTTACGTTCAATAAACCTTGTAGGATAACCATTGTTAAGGAGATTTGGTCGAAGGTTATCTAGTTCACTCTCAATTGTCTCTGTAGAGCAGATTTTACGAATTCTGGAGCATAGGGAATGAATAGGATTTCTATTTCTCCCTAAAGGTACCCAACTGTTGAAGTTAGTGTACTGTCCAGTGAATGTTGGCTTTCGGTAAATCAACCTTAACAGCGTTCAATTCTCTCTTCTACCTAACTTAACGTCAAGGAAGTAAAACGAGGAATTTGACTCTTCTTCGACCGTGAAAAGCAGAGATGGGTGAGAACCATTAAATATTCCAATAAGCTCGGCAGTTGAATAGTTTTCCTCACAGACAATGAAGGTATCATCTATATATCTTTTATACATAAACAAACTATCGATGGTTTCCTTTTCTAAGCTTGCCATGAAGAAGTCCGCTAAGAGCGATCCTAAAGGAGACTCCATGGCGACTACATCCCTTTGGTTGTAGATGACTTCATGAAATCTAAATTGCACATTCAATGTGCATCTCAATAATAGTTGTTTAAGATATTCAGTTGGTAAGCCATTTTGTCAAACCCCTTTCTTAACCTTGGTCATAGTAATATTCTTTCTAGTTTTCATTTTATTTTATTTTACCACTTGAACTCTTTCCACTTCACTTCACATCTTCATTCTTATTGTAATCGTACTCCTTATTTTTAAAATGTTTAGACAACGCTTGACATTAAAAAATATTTTTGATATCAATTCACTTATAAAACAATCTTTAATAATTTTGCAATTTATCCACTTCAACTCTACCCCTTATAAAATTTTAATTATCGTTATTCTTATCACCTATATATATATGTATATTGACTGAGCAATTTCTAGTGCCTCTTAATGCCTTTTTACGTTACATAATTACGACTATACAGCTTGAAAATGAAGTCGTTGAAAAGAAATATTTCTTCGTTGAACAAAAAAACTGTGTTTTTACTTATGAATAATGTTAAGGCAGTTTTCAAAAAAAGTCTCTGGAATTATTCAAGTGTTGGTTTGTAGGGATTTGATTGGTTACAGGATTTTCATCATGAGCTGACATTAGTTAGGGAACCATTGGAAAACCTGGGAGTACTGGACAGCTGTTTCGTCCTAGTTTGGGACTCTTCATCAGTGCGCACCCACCGGGATTCGAACCCAGGACCTACTGGTTACAAGGCGAGCTCGTATACCATTAGGCCACTGGGACCCGATCCAATGGCCCATGAATTCTAACTTCTGCCAATTCACGACATAGCGCTTCGTTGAAATTATTGATAAGAAAACAGCTTAAAAATGGATATCCATCATACTTATGAGATTCATTGGTAATGTACGTTAACAAGTGTCAGGTGTTTTCTCTAATATTTATTAGCTGACCACTGCCTTTTCATCAATTTTGCTTGATGACGTAATCAATACTGAATTTATTAGGTCAAAAGGATGAGGATAAAAGTAGGGCAACTAGTATTGTCCATAGCTGATTAACTCAATAAAGTTGTAGCAGCCTTAATAGCATGCTGAGCATTAAGATACGTTTATGTTTAAAGTTTTGACTGATGTTCTAGTGAGATGACACCCCAGAAACTTTATACTTATCTTTGGATTATGAATTTTTGTAGGAATATGGATTAGTTTCAGTTTAGATTTCGTTGCAAAACAAAACCAATTAGAGGTCACTGAATACCAGCGAGTACTGGGGAGCTGTTCTAGTTTGGGACTCTTGTGCAGTGCACACCCACGACCCCAAAAGGGATCCAATCCGTGACCTTTAGGATACGACACCAAAACTGGTTGATCATTCAGACACTTGGGCCAGGATTCGATGATCCGTGAACTATCTTTTAATTTGTCCTGAAAGCCGTTAATTCCAAGTCAAGTGTTAGGTAGTAAGAAATTACACTTCTAACTGTGTTTTTCTTTAATTACAGTTTATTTTTAGAAGTTATTCAAAAATTCAGTGTTTTCTGCTCATACAGTGAAGAATATTCTACGCTAATTTTGTAAGCAAACGCCATTGATAAGCATCCTATATTTCAGATAGGTAGAAACTGTGAATATTAGCCTTCGTTTTAACAAAATCTAGGCACAAAATGAATCACAGTTTCTTTAATTCACAGTGTATGCCAATTCCTTGTAAAACATTGGAATAATTTTACAAATTCAGATGCATTCTATTGTCAGTGTACACCAAAATACTGTTGTATTTTGTATTTTCTGTGTTCTCTTACCACCATTACTTTATAGTACATCTTTAACACCCCACTGCATCCAAAAATACACGGTGAATTCACTAGACAGCCTCATTTTTAGTCTAAATGTTTAGCACGATGTAAAGAAATTTTTTCGCATAATTCGTCATTAAAACAATACAAATAGCACTGACACAATTAAGTAAATTTTAATGTAGTTCACAGGCTTGATTAACACTGATTATTGTAATCTATAAAAAATATATAATAATCTGTTGAAATGTGAAGTTCACATCCAGCATGGCTGGACACGTCGCTCTTCCCCAGCATACTAGCAACGGATGCAATTGATCTCCCAGCATATAATTTTTTTTTAATTAGATATAATTAAGGTCTTTTGTCTTCTTTCATTTGCCGAATTGTAAACACGCTTGCGATTAGCGAACTAATTATAACTGTGAAAATATATTTTGATAATTACTGAAATGACTTGAGGACAAACGCCTATGAGGGTTTTCATTTTCAAGTTTACTTTGTTAAAACATAACGCATAGAAGATATGAAAGTGAACAAAACTGAGTATGATAATTACTTTTCATTGTCTTGTAGTGAGTGACTCATTTTATTACTCATCATTGTAGTGTACTTTCACTATGTATTTGGACTTTGATTTGTTTATCACTCTAAAGATTGCGTGTTATCAATTGATACTTTTGTACTCACTCAGCTTTTGAATTTTCATATTACTGCCATAATACACTTTCGTACTCCTTCTCAAGTGCCTTTTGATTTACGTTGTGGATGTCGAGTAATCACAATGTTAGGACACAATAATAAACGCGAAGAAGTACTAGGATATAGGTGTACGCTAGTTTGGTCAAACAGAGCAGCACAACAGTCTTTCGTTATTAAAAGGGTTTATATCAATGTGAAGCTGTTCTTGTGGTTCACTTCTTAAACCAATGGCCCTTTTCCCACCTATTTCAATAAAAGTTTATTTTCTCAGGAATGATGTTTGTTTTCATAGTGGAGTTTAATTAACTCACTTGAAGAGTTACTTTATATAGCTGCCAAATAAATACTTATTACCAAGATTACCAGCAAGAATCGGAAAAGCAAGACAAGCTTTCACTACTTCCAAGTCTGTGGGGAGGTCAACAACACTCAGCATCAAAAATAAGATCCGAATTTTCAACTCCAATGTGAAGTCAGTGCTACTATACGGATGGAACAGAGACTTCCACTGCGCGTCATAAACAGCATCTCAAACAAACTACAGACCTCCATTAACAATTGTCTTCGCTAAACACCACTCAAGATCAGATGGCCAGCCTGAAAAGATCAGCAACAGAGATCTCTGGGAGCGAACCAGTTGTGAAACAAATAGGCAGGAAGAGATGGAGATGGATTGGCCATACTCTGAGGAAACAAGCCATCAAGTGACCTCACTAGACAAGCCATTGCTCGAGTGGAACCCGGCCGAAAGGGAAGCGGCGAGTTGGTCGTCAGTGTGAAGGTGACTTGGAGGAGTTCATGTGAAGAGGAGATGAAAACATGTGGGTAGACATGGAGCCAGGTGAAGACTCTAGCAGAGAACCGAACGCAATGGAGACGCACGGCTGTAACCCTATGTTCCTCTAGGAATTAAAGGGAACATTAATAATAATAATGGTAGATCATGAGAAATCAGATTGATCAAAATGACATCATAATGGATAAATATACTTTTTGCAACAAAAAATGGTCTAGTTTAAGTTGTATGATAGTCAGCAGATATCTTGAAGTCTAGATCTCATTTGTATTCATATCAATTATGACAACATAATCACAGTGTTTTGAAATTCCATTTTATTTTCACAAATATAAAGTACCTTGGCGAATATCTTAATCGGAAAGTTTACGAGCCATTTATTTCTAATTAGAGGTTACCTTTAAAAACCTTAATTATATAGTCTTATCCATTTTCACACTTTTATCAATGTCGTCCTATATTTTATTTTAGGTGAATTAGAACCCGATGAAGAGAAGGCAACAAGAAACTCGTTAATTCAGTATAATGAATTACTGAATTTCAGATATTCTAATCAGTATGCTGTCAAATAATCAGGCTATTGTACTGCATTCTCTAAATATCTAGACATTTGTGTGAAAGCCATCGAAACCAGTCATTTAAGTATGTACAACACAATCATTAGAAAAATAGAGATTACGGAGTTCTTGTGAAGAAAACCGAAACACTGAAATAATTCTGCTGAACTATGTGTACATTTGTAGAATTTATATGGTTTTCTGGAACAGAGATAACTGCTTATACACGAATTAATTGAGCGATGACATGTAATATGACTGGATTGTAGCTTGTTTCAAGACTTAACAGGCATCACAAACTACTTTAATCCGGTCACAGTTAACAGTCAACTAGGGCTAGCTTCATTGCTTAATGAAGTCAGTTGGTGTCTCGCGGGTACAACTCATATCCTGAAGACCAAATAAATACATGACTTACTCAAGTGTCCCAACAAGTCAGACACTTAAATGTGAAGCTTCGTGCTGAATAAATTCGAATCTCCGGTACGAGAAATTCAGATATGTTGTGAAGTAGATTTGTGAATATGTGGAGCCAAACGATGAATGATTAAAATGCCAAGCATGACAATTTACTCTCCGCTTCCGTTTCACTGTACATATTATTCATAATTTTTAAAAGAACTTACTCCTCCTCCGCGTTTTCTAACTGTTTGACTTAAAATGTTTTTTGTTTCTTCTGAACCCCGTATGATAGCAGTTAAAATTTATTGAAAATTTACCACCCAACTAACCTGAGTTTCTTGAAAGTTTTCAAAATGATTCCATAACTCAACAATATCAGCATTAAAAAGCACGTCAACATCAAGAATAATAACCTGGAAGGAAAACACATTAAAATTATGTACATTGCCACCATCACACATATGCATACTGGCTAATCTACTTGCGTATGAAGTAACCAAAGTATCTCTTAGTTGTGAAATTGAATCTCACAGGAGTGAACAGTGATTTCTCAGTCCATGATATACTGAAACTGATTCTTTTTCATGTGTGTCATAATGAAACTGGCAAAAGTGACACTACCACAAATATGTTATGTCTGTCTTTACCACAATTTTTGTTTACTTCTGTATACATGAAAGTTGTTCGTGACTCATTTATCTGACTCAAGAAAGACATAGATGATGAAGTCCTCCAACCAATCGGACAAAATTCGCTACAAAGCGAATACTTGAAAATTAATCTGATACTCACTAGTGACTGGTCCTATTCAAGCAGTTAACCTGGAGTTCTAGTGCGAAGCCGTGACCAGTAGGGTGCAGCAGGTTGAAGGTGAGGCAGTAACTCATAGAAAAAGACATTGAGAAGTGGTCGTGCTATGTCATGAATTGGCTGGTAGAAGTTGGAATTCATGGGTTGGCCATTGGATCGGGTTGGGTCCCGATGGCTTAATGGTCTACGAGCCGGCTCGCCCTGTAACCAGAAGGTCGTGGGTTCGAACCGGTGTGGTGAGTGCGTACCGATGAAGAGTCCCAGACTAGGACGATATGAACAGCTGTCCAGTACTCCAGTATTGGTTTTCCAATGGTTTTGTATCTGATGTCAGCTCACGATGAAATCCTCCAACCAACCAAAGACACCGATGCTTATAAGTGACTGAAAGGAGTTTACCCTGAGATTCCGTTTCACAGTCATTAGTATCCATTGTGTAGGTGACATGAAAATCTTAAGAATAATGCCATTTAATTAAGAATCAGGGCGGAATCTCTCTACAATACTTGTAGACTATCAATGAAATATTTGGTATTATCTTTTGTATTTACGTGTCCATTGTCTTCTAGGTACGTTCGATTCTCAGCCTCAGTGCAAATCGAATCAAATGATAATTATCAGTCAGTAAAAGCTGACCCAATATCTGAACGGTTTTCAACACTCACTCCATATTAACTAGATGATGTAAACGAGTCAAAATAGTTTCAGATCACCAAGCAGAGACTTCAGCACTGTGCAGTTTAGACTTGAGAGACTTTATCATTATTATTATCATTATATCATTACAAACAGTTTAGTGATTCACTCAAAGGATCTGTAATATAATTTTTGATAAATGGGCACTCACGAGTAGAATCAAACCATCAGATTAGCCTGACAAATAAGCTCAAATAAAGACAAGGAAGTAAAAGTTCAAAACAATATTTGCTCATGCTGATACATTCGCTGATAAACCTGATTTTTCCTAATTTTTTAACCACGATGACATATCCCAAATGACAGCCATTTTATGGGTCTTATTAAAATGGTCAGTTATTTGCCGTGACGCGTTTTTCTGTGGTGTTTTTATCACGTCTTCGAATGATGTGGCTTTATTTCGGAAAAGCAATTTCATTCGATAAAATCCAACTTGGTGGAAAATTTCCACCTAGAATTTATTTTCCATAACCTCAGAGTTACTGCTAAACAAAAAGTTCCATCGCAATCATACCTAACTCTGGTACCAAGTAGATGAATTTCAGACCACATTCAGACTACACGACGTGTGCTGCTGATCAGTATGAGACGTTTGAAATGAGTCTCATCAACAAGTAATGCTTGACAACTAGTCTGAGGTGAATGGACCCCAGCTAATGACACAAATCAGTAGTTCATACTGTACTGCATCAATGCTTACGGTTTTGACACTACTTTTAATGTCAAGAAGTTAGCATATTGTATGAAAACTAAGGGTGAATTTCACTATGCACTGCACACTTTGAGATTAACTAATCTGATTTCAGACTAAAGCCTACAATTACAAATGGCGTCGCCTATGCTATAGCTTTCGAAGTGCCAACGGAATAACAATGGCAATTTCTACTAATTAATGAAACAATTTCTTCAACTAAATCCTCCAACCAATTAAATTTGGTAAACTTGAACGATTGTGCCCTGTACCACATGAGTACATTTTATTTTGTATGTTTAGCTGTTATGTTGTTTTGCGTCAAGTAGGACTTCGAATTCAGTCTACAACGTTTTACAGTCTCTCTAAAACAGCTTCATTCATTATCTTACAGTTATTAAGTCTACAGCATACTTCATGTTAAACAATATTCCTCTGAAGCTTTACAAACCTGAAAAGGGATGGTTTCTTCAATATGGTGAAATTTTCTTCTTTTTCAAGTATGAAATACAGATATTTCAACTTCAGGTTAGGTTATCGTAAGACACACCACAACTCAACATTACAAACCACTTTATTTTCTGGAGTGAAATTTAACCATATAGTGACCTATAGAAATAATAATCATCGGTGAGAAGACTGGAAGCAAGAGATTTTTGAAATACCACTTTTTCCTTTGAAAATCCCCAACAGAGAGTATATACGTCTTTATGCGGGCTAAATGGCAAGATCATGAAATCCTACAATACGTTTTTAACCACTATGACGAAATCCAAATGGTTCACGTATTTTACATCTGTCATTTAATTATAAACCACAATGATCAACTACCGTTGTCAGCCAGCAACCTTCCTTACACATAAGCATGGATTCAGTATCATTCAGTTTTAAGGAAATATTATATTTTATCGACACATTTAGTATGTATGCCCCACGGAATGTCTGAACCTTACCAGAGGAAAAAAAACATTTACATACTTTATTTATGGTTGGTGGAAGAACATCAGGCAGCAGAAATTTGATGAATGGTTTTGCACCCGCAGGATGTTTGGATACTATCCACTGAAGGTTATCCTAGAAAAGATTTCACTCATGAAAGTAAATAATACCAAAACGAACAAATAAATGACACGTTTAAATTATTTATAACAATCAAAGTATAAATAGTACTGACTCACAGGTGTAATCTCCTTCTCCTATTTTAATAAAAAATACGACAAATCAAACAAACAATATAGTTCTCTTTAAAAAAAGATCATCTGAACTGTGACAGAAATTGTCGATCAGTCATGGCCAGTTTCTTTTTCCCTATATTTTCGGTTGTAACTAAGACAGCATTACCAAAGTGAGAGAAATCTCAGTGGTCTTTCACAAAATATAAGATCTTAGTTTTACAGAATGTTAAAGAAAAGAATTAATGACCAAAAGTGAATTTATATATTTTATTCCTCGTAATAACTGCCTGTATGCATATAGTTCTAAAGGTAACAAATTGATCATTATCAAAATAAACAAAAGGCTTTAAGAGTTTTTGGTATCCTCACTGACATTCGCATAATCCTACATTATTAAAAGCATTCAATTAAATCACCGAGTCTCAGTACTAAGCCTTTTTAGAGACCAAGGGTGCTGACGTCAACGGATAGGATGAAGTATACTAACACAAGTTCTAATACACACAACTTCTATAGTATTCTTTTCGCGTTCGATAAGGCCAGATGTAATCACCGGCTGAATAAGTAGGGCCACTAATGAATCGATCACAAATACTCTCCTAGTTCTTGCTAGAATACTGTAGGGTAGTGTGTGACTGACGGTAGGCAACATGGAGTCGGCTGTAGAGCTTGAACGTAAGGATTACAGTCAGTTCCTCGTGGGATAACGTTGGTGTCTGGATTTCTACTGGAAGGCGGAGTTCATGACCAAACAGTAGCGGAACATGAGTACACCCGTTGATGGGTGTAGTGAGAAGTTGTGTGCGAGCAGGCATTGAGGCAGAACATCGTCCCACGTGTGGTGAAGAAAGCACAAATTATGCTCTTTATTGTACTGTCAGCCCGTTCCACCAAAAAGTTTTTTTGGTGATGGTATCACGTAACGCTACTCTTCCGAGTGCCAAAGGTGTTACAGATGTGGGGAAGAAGGTGACTCTCAAAAGCATTGCTTTGTTCTGAATGAAAATAGAGTGGGACACCAAAACGAGACACCCATGTGTCAATGAGTGTGCGACGATAGTCACTGTATTTTATGGCTGCAATGGTAAAGCTTCGCACCATCTGATGATGTAATCCACCAGAACCAAGATCTATCTGTTGCCTGGTCTCTAAGCTTCAAGTGGTCTAATGATATCTGGGCCCACTCGGTGGCTCGGAACTTTGGTTAGCATGGGCACTATGGGTGGCCGTCAAAGTCCTTGACGGACGGAGTGTTCAGTTTTTCGATGACCAGCATGACATAGTTGATTGTGTACAAGGTGAATCACCTCTTGAAATTTAAAGTGTGGAATTATAAGATGGGGCGACGAAGATGGCTTCATTATAAATAAGTCGTCATCTGTAAGTTGTAGCACACTCTATTTAGTACGTATGCACATGTCATGTTGAATGAATTTCGTAGTTCTCTATCAAATAGCTTACCATTCCCATGAAATTAGTGGGAGTAAATGGGCTGTACATCAGCATCAGTTGCTTGTACGGCCTTCTTCTGTCAGTTGATGGACAGTTGATGCAAGGGTGGCGAAACCATAGAAGAAGTGTCGATAGTACGATGCTAATTCCAGGATATTGGGGTGTGAGCCATTAAGCAATAGGATATGTTTTCTTCAGGTCTATCTGGTTGCCTTTGGATGAGATACTGTGGCCAAAACCCGTGATCATTGTCTAAAGAAAGGAGCACTTAGTTTCCAACTTTAGACTATTTCTTCTTAACCGCACAAAGACAGTCCATAGGTTATAAATGTGATCCTCTGGTGACTTCCCATGTACAGTAATATCGTCAAAATAAATTTTTAGAGATTGAGGGTGTTGACGTTAAGGGATAGTATGAAGTATACTGATACACGATCTAATAAAAACAACTTCTATAGTATTCGTTCCGTGTAGACCAAAGGCAAAGCAAAACACCAGAATTGAACGGCCAAATTATGAACTATATTTCAAGACCAAATCGGAGTACGAGATGATTGCTTAACTAGCTAAGGACTGTTCACGAATGAACGAACTTAACACAATGGCGTGGCAAATGGCGTGGATGCTTGACCGGAAGCCTTCAGCTCAACAAATCGAATTTTAACAGTGATGATCAACTTCCAATATTCAGTGATGAATCCTGCGGTTAATAATTCTGGGGAATTACCTACCGCTACACCTTAATATAGCTTACTCCACTTCTTCTTTAAGGCGTAAGCGCAATAATTGAATTAATAAGTGAGACATAATGATTATGATAATCCGGGAATAACGTGTCTAACACCTGTAAGTTCTGTAGATGATGTTAGCCCATGATCAATCCTGTAGTTATTTCACATTAGATGAACGCTAATACAACACCAACAGAAAAATCGCCTAAACAACAACAACAGAAATTGGGAATTTTGACTGGGATGAACTACAGTAGAACAGTATGATTAATGGTGGTTGAAACAGCAGATTTCGAATTACACGATAACAAACTATTTTGTAAACACCTTTTACCTTGAAACGTATTGTGGAACACTTATTAAGGGGTAAAATATTCAAATTTCAGTGCTTCAGTCAGCAGTCTTTCAACGCCACTAAAGACATGAGGGGATTCGATGACATGACTCGGCAATGATATGTGTAAATCTTGGTAGGTGTAGTTTATAATGCCACATTAACTTGTTTATTGGTCATATCATGCAGTGAAGCAGCATTATCTACTGGATGACGTTTTGAGAACAATTTATTGTTCGTAATCACATTAACTGTAACTACACAACCTCAAAACTTCATTTCTATAGTTCACGTTTTTCTAACCATTTTTCGTGAGGATGGTAGATTTTGAAGTTGTGCAACTACAAGTGATATGATTGTGAACAATAAATTGTGTTCGAAACGCCATCTAGTAAGCAATACTGTTTAATGTGCGACACACTGAACAAACGAATCAATATGTAATGGCTGGGATATTTCATCAGAACCTGATATCTGGATTTTCCAGCTCTAATTAATTAATACACAGTGTGCAATTCTAAATTCATGGAATCTTAATGCTATAAACTGCAATCTCAATCCTGAAAGAAATCGCCAGATCCGTTGAAAGACTGATGTCCTTAAAAAATATAAGTTCGAACTAACTACACTTTCATGTCCTATTTTCATTGGTATCCATGCCCAAACGGGTGAACAGGAGACACTTTCATCAAAGTATAACTGCATATTTATCCGTTTTTCTCTCAACTAAACATTTCGAATGAAATATTGCTATGTCAGTAAAACTACTGTGTCAATAACCAACCATAGAGTGAGAGGAATTTTTGGACTTGTGGTTTCAGTCATGTTCTACTCTTAGAATGCCAAAATAAGCATGATCTGTAGTTTCACTCGTTTCAACTACAGCAACAATCGAATAAATATTAACGTAAAACCCATTGGAAAATGACAAATCTCCACTTCATCCTGGGTCATCTGCTTCAGTTAAACGATAAAATAGATTGAAAAGTAATGAACTCACTGTGTTGAAGTTTCATAACAGAGCTCGTTTCCAACTAATTCGAGGAAATTATCAACTCCAACTTACTTTTTTGACCGTCTAAAGTACACGAATTTTCTTGAAAGTAAAAAATAACTATATTTCAAGTCTCTCAGTGTACAAGTGATTTCAACCTGTTCTGAGGACAATAACTCACAACGATGATTTGATTATATTCAATGATTATATCACCCGAACAATAACACTGTTAACGCTAACGTTTGTGGAGAATCTGATGTCTACTGATTTACAGAGTAGTTATGATTAGTGCCTGTTACAAATACTTCATGACGATAATTCCTACTGCAGTAGCTTTCGAATAACGAACGATCTGATACTTTATTTAGATCGTACGAATACTTGTTGATATTCCTGACACTTTTCTTTAACTTCCCCACAGCCTTGGTCCTAACTCGAAATTGTAACCCTAACTTTATGCCGCAATTCTTATTTCAACCCTAAAATCCCTAACCCTACCTAAAAGTACAAATTTACAGAAAAAGAACCTAGGGCACACTTAGAATACTGTACCTACCTTCACCAAATCCATAAAGGCAGACATGGTTTGATTTGGAATGACTTTCAGTAGAGTTCGTTAGATCTGATTTATTCTTTAAGGTCAACTTTTGACAGACCTTGACTTTGGCTATGATAGTTTAGCTTCACCAAAAGAAAGACATATCCCATAAATTATGTTTATTTATTACATTGAACTATTCCAAGTCTGCGTGTTGGATTCAACCAAATGCTGAATTCACCTTCCATGTTAGCAACCGGAATAACAGAAAATAACACGATCAGGAAGTCAGAATAAGATTCACTAAGAAAAGCTGGGGCCAGAATGAATGTTACCCCTTTCTGCTAAGTAATGAAGAACCTACGATTTTACAGTAAATTAATACTGACATGACAACGACAACTCAGGTGGATTACGGCACAGTACCAAAACTAAAACCCTGGCCCAACCAAACCGATGATTTTTGCAAAACTCATTTCGGTAACCAGTAGGTAAGATGTGAAAAGTAAGACCAGGGAGAGATTACTGAGAAGATATATGAAGACAGCTTACAAATAATGAAACTGTACTCGGACTAATGGACTCGCTCTATCCAAGTTCCACAATAAACTTGAATTTTAAAAACTAGGTACCCTTGTAAGACTAATCATCCCACTTCCAGGAGATCTACAATATAATCTATCAAATCAGTTTTACAGGAATTTAAAATACCCAACAAGATACTGTGATAGCTTTGTTGTATCCTCCAACCATGTTTCTAAAGAAATTTCAAGAAACTCAACTAGATGACGAAACTGTTTTGTCCTTCAAAATCAAAAGTGGACCCAAGCTAATTAAAAAACACACGACTGTTCACCTACTACCATAAACACCTCTCTGAAGACAAAATAGTTTAGTGATGAAGGTTAGATCTATCGAAAGATAAAAGAAACACTAATGGACTAGTTTTTAGGACCAATTACAGACAAGAAGCCTCCATTCTACTAATAATCAAAGCATAGAATTGCGTAGGCTGCACTGGTGGTAATTCGTCGACTTGCAAATTATTCAACTACGAAACACTCACAATATCAATTTGAATGTAAAGGAAGACCTGAAATTAAGTTTCTATTTGAGGATAATCTAATCAAATAAACAAGTACACCGAGACTTCAGATGCTTAGCCTACACAGACAGAATGCTTCTCTGGAGCATAACTGTGTTCAGGCGTTATAAAGAAGAACCAAGACATTACATCTTACATTTAGAAGAATATGAAGAAGAAATATTTGTCTGTTTTCCAGGAAAATGTAAATCCACACAACTAGGAAGAAAGCTGTTCAACTGAAAGTCAACTGATTATCCTAAAATCATCCTATCATAAATGAAAAAAAAGCTTTTGAGATCTTCATTAGAGGGCTGAAACCTTTTGGAATAACTATTTTTCAGCAACAAACCAAATTGCTTTAGTTAATACTGTCGACAAAGTAGACGTCTTCTCCATCTTTCCATCCATGATCAGAAGTCTTCAGTCACGAGGCATGCCATATCGGCTTATATATGACTATCCAGAGAGAAATACAGACATTACTGATGAAATGTGAAAATCTCTAACAAAAGAAATATGAAAAAGGCTACGAAAATTCTAAAATCTCAATACTCAAGTCAGTGGGCATTTTTAAACAAACCACTTCTTTTCAGTCAATGAAAAGTAAGCTATGCAACTAGCAGCTCAATTACCAAGTAGATCCGCCGACCGATGTGAATACAGATAAACAGTATGACAACAAAATCTCTGACGGAAAACATTCCCTGTCAAGACTATCAGAGAAGATATTTATTTTACCTATGAAGAATTCCATAGACTCATTGCATTTTGAAGTTGTTGTCAACGGTGTTTACGGAAAACTTTTTCGTTAGATGAATCAACTCAGAGAAAGCAACAACATTAAAACCATCCACCTCAGCTACAAGTTATTTTACTCGGAGATTTACTGTCTGAATGAAGAAAAGTTTGCTAAATACCATGTAGTAAATGTGTGGTATGAAATATACAAGCCAAAGTGGTCAATGCTATTCACTTAGTCTGAATATCGGAATAACAGGACTTTCAAATACCCTTAAAATAAGTGACTTAAAAAAAGAGACTCAACCGTCACAATACATGGACTGATCCATAGTCGATCTCATAATAGATTAAATAATGAGTAAATACACTTACCGCATATTCACTACAATCATAAAAGTAGTACTCTAAATTACTCAGCCTCCAATTCGTCATGCAAACTATCAAATCACCATGTGATTTACTGTTGCCCAAGAAATGAAGCACAATTTGATAAACATGTGACATTCTTTCTTCAATTCTTGAACAACTGCCAAAGAATCCATCACAAAGATTTGATATACAACAGTTTTTCAAATCACATCGAAATCTTTCTTGACCATAGAAGATCGATTTAAGAAGGTTGTCTAAATACAATAGACTATTCCCTCCATCAATCAGTATAGCAATATGAATCTTGTTGTTCTACAAAATTTTATGAAAAGGAAATTGAAGCAATTGTTTCTGACAAATGTTTTTGGTAGATAAATAAAAACAAATTAGAATAAACCGCTATACGCAAATATTATTTACATTATGAAGATGTATGCGTAAACTAGTCATGATGATTAGTCAGTCAATATCAACATGAGCGAAAATGGACTGTAAACTGAATACTACTACTAGTACTATCACTAATAATATTAATGACAGCATAGGTGAAGGTAATAATTTGAGACGTGACCATATGTTCATTCAAACAAATTCTTCAGCAGTTATATTAAGCAAAGGCTTGACAAAATGCGTTGATGTTGTGAAATACTGTACGAGGAAATAGGTGAAAACATGAAGCCGCAGTGTGAGTTTGAAAGGTTTGGAGAAATTGAAGCGAGTGTGTTGAAGATGACGTGTGTAGAATAAGTTATCTCCTACCAATACGGAGGTAAAAGCCATACCCAATTCTTCTAAGTAAAATGTTTACGATTGTTTGTTCAGATACTGAGTATTTACTCTTTTCGTACCATGCCAACCACCGTGAGTGTTGTCTCATGCAAGCGACAGGTCTTAGCTGGAGCTCGGTCTGCTAACCGATGAGCCCCATCCAGCGGTCGCCCCGAGGAGGCGCCTGCCACATATAATCATAACCCTCGCCGGGCCATTTCCCATGCCCGGTTGAATTTCTTCACGTTGACACTCAGAGCACTGGACGGAAATGCGTAGCCAAATGTAGACTTAACAAAAGAAGCCAATATTGGAAAACGCACGATAGTCTAAGGATTTTGGTCCTCGCACCGCATGTACGGCCCCTTCTGGTGAGCCTCTCACTGATCAGATGACAAGGCATTTGGTTACCTTAAGAGAGTCATAGTTACCTCTTCTGAGTAAAATGTTTACGATTGTTTGTTCGGATATCTACAGCATTTCGTTACAAGTTATGCTGATTACCTGCAAAATGTGGTGTTAATAAGGGCAAGATTAGAACCAACTGGCATTGGAGACTTTTATGGGCTACTATTTATTCCTCCTTTTAGAGTAGGTTTCCCAAACTCATACTTCAGCTCACTGGTTGTCATAGTCAGTAATGATAAGACAAGGATTATTTAGCTCAACTAAAGTGCATGTTATTTTATGCAACCTGTGAACCAGTTTCACTGTGAAAAGGCTTTCTAGGTTGTTATCAACCTCAATTTCTGATACAGGATTCACATCTGAAAACAAGTGAGTGAAATCAACATCATCTCACTCAACCTTTTCTTTTAATTAAATAATGAGATAATCACTTCTGAAGTATTTGCCACTGTTTATTTTTTTTAATTGCCTCAGTAAGCAAATGAAAGTGTCAATTAATTTTAGGCTTACCGTTGAGTTTTCTGAGATATACGCAAGTCCAGCACTGTGATCATTGGAGTCAGTATAAACAAAATAAAGGTAAACTGAAGTCAATAACACAGTGATTATCCCAATATAAACGAATGGCTGAATGGTGAGTGTGCACTTTTTAAGAGAATTATTCATTTGATTAGAAACTTTATCACAGTAATTCCTCTGAATAGATGTGAAGGAAGGCAGCATGGTTGTTGGCAAACACTAGTAATATAAATGTTAATTTTATTTCACTTTTCAATTCTCTTACCAATGAAACTGTATACGGCATAAAAGTGAAGTAATTGGTACATCACTGTAGACCACTAGTATTTTAGAGACTTTTGAGTTGCTTCTAATTGGTTCATTGTGTGCGCTTGAAGAAATAGATTATTACTCAATTTTAAGAGCACTAAAGAGATGACAAACTGTGTAAACTCACAGCTGAATAATGTTTTGTAATTCATCTTGCAGAAGAATCAAAATTCTTGCTGCTGAAAATACCCAGACTGAAATAGTTGAATAATTCTCTTGTTTTTCCTATGCAAAGACAGTGTGAACTCAGTGAGTCCGTTGTGTTACGTTTCAATCACTGTTGGATATCATTACTCCTACTTAACATAACCGGTGTCATGTGAGAAATTTGTATGCAAAAGCAATTTTATCAGCCTCATCCATTCTGTACTACAATCAGTCTAACCCTAGAAGCGTACACGTGAATCCTGTTACTAGCAACAAGTGAAGCAGGATGAAATAGATCTATTTAATTTTGTCAGTTTCTTTTCAACTGCTTAAATGAAACCTAAGTGGTGAAAGTAATTTATTTTTAATTAGAATTTTAATAATATCTTAGTATGCTGTGCGTCGATGGCAAAGTGATTAGGACTCTCGCCGACCATGCACCTCGTCCGGGGTTCGATCCCCTGCCGACGAACACCCGATATCTATGGTCGGCCTGTAAAATTTGGGCTACCGATATCCATGCTGAAAATTCCATCCTTGTACTGAAAACACGGTTCGGCATCAAGCTGTAATCAAAAATATTTAAAAAATAAATATTAAAACTAATCTTACTTCACTATGGTAATAGTTATTGAAATTATTAAGTGATGATGTTCATGAATCTGTATATGAAATAATGTTTTGTCATTCTTTTCGATTTGTTTTCTAAACCCCCTTTCATTGAGCCGCATATTTATTATTGTTTCCTTTAATTCCTAGAGCAACATAGGGCTTCAGCCGTACGTCTCCATTGCATACGGTTCTCTGCTAGAGTCTTCACCTGGCTCCAAGTCTGTCCACACGTTTTCATCTCCTCTTCACATGATCTCCTCCAAGTCACCCTTGCACTGACGACTAACTCGCCGCTTCCCATTCAGTCGGGTTCCACTCGAGCAATGGCTTGTCTAGTGATGTCACTTGATGGCTTGTTTCCTCAGAGTATGGCCAATCCATCTCCATTTCTTCCTGCCTATTTGTTTCACAATCGGTTCCTGCTGCGTTGGTTCGCTCCCAGAGATCCCTCTCTGTTGCTGATCTTTTTTGGTCAGCCATCTGATCTTGAGTATTGAGCGAAGACAACTGTTAATGAAGGTCTGTAGTTTGTTTGAGATGCTCTTTATGACGCGCAGTGCAAGTCTCTGTTCATCCGTATAGTAGCGCTGACTGACTTCACATTGGAGTTGAAAATCCGGATCTTGTTTTTGATGCTGAGTGCTGTTGACCTCCCCACAGACTTGAGAGTAGAAAAAGCTTGTCTTGCTTTTCCGATCTTCGCTTTGATATCCTCGTCAGTTCCATCCGCCTGTAGTTGAAACGATGCTTCCCAGTTAGGTAAAAGGGGTTGTTTCTTTCAGGTTCCTCCCATTTATGCTGATTGTTGTCTATTGTTATGGCTGTTGGCCAGTAATCTGTATCACTTCTATTTTCCCTATATTCACCTGAAGTCCTATCTTTGATGCTTCTTCTAGCAATTTGTTGCTTTTTACTTGCATACCTTCCAGTTTGTGGGAAATCAGACATATATCATCGGCGAAGTCCAGATCCTCCAAGTTTTTTGTGGGGGTCCATTTTATGTCTGTTTCCTCATTGCTGTATACATTCAGTAATTTGTAAATAATTTTAGAAGTGTGACGGACATGGTTAGATTACTCTTCTCCTATTGTAATGGCTGTGTAATTGAATGTGGTTGTTCCAGCTGGAGCAATCGTTCATGAGTAACACAATCAGCGACTCCTTCGGTAACTTAGATTAGTGAAATGTATTAGCAGGTTAGACTGATTAATGCGGTTGGAAGTAGTTTCATTTTACACGTATAAGGTGAGTTCACATTTTAAAGCATAAGATTTTACCATCTCATCTATTCTTTATAAACTGGATAAGAGCTTGGTCAGTCATTAATTTTAACTCGAAAACAAGTGGATTTGTAGCGATAGCCATTCGCTAAAAGGTATACCCACTTATTTGAATTCACCCGAAATATATATATATGTAATACACTCACTCGTAGGCTTCTTCGTCAACTGAGACAATATCTCATATTATGGTTCTAGCTTGCACACTGAAAAACTAGACATTTGAATTTTAGTTTACCATTCTGTTTTCTGCATATACTAACAAATGAAGACGAACCACAGTGCATTAATAAATTCTGAAGTCCTATAAAGTAGACTTAAAACTGATCATTTTCTTTAATATTTTCCTTCTTGGTTTCGAAAATGACCTTGTCTTTTTAATAAGTACACTCAACTGATTTTGTATACCCCTCACGAAAAATTGTACACTTAAATGACAGAAGAGCCGATATTCTCGTAGAAATATATGGAGGACTCCACAATGTACTACTTGAAACGTTGCTTAAAGAAGGAAGTTTTACCAAAACAATTTGAAATAATAAACCGCTCACTGTTTCTTTGAGTATACTGGCAAATAAAAGGAAATCACTGAATAACATTCAGGAAGTTTAAGGTCCAAGATTTATCATCATATTCCACAGACTTGCATTTTTTACAGTCACATGAAAATAGTTAAAAATAAAACAAAAAGGATTACAGTCTAGCACTTTCTATACAACCAACAATGATTACATCGAAGGGCATAAATGAAGTATTTGTGACTCTCACCATCTCTCGTGCAACTTCTAGTATCTACTCAAGTCTATTTATATACACAAGAATGACAATATTCTTGTTTCATAAATAATGAAAATAAAGTTAAGCAGCTGTGATGTGGGTGAAGCTGTACAACTGGGCTCCTTTTGCACAACTCAGTTACCACCTATTCGGGCTAGAGAGGATCCCATTTGCTTACCACATTAAAGTATTATCATCCTAAGATGAAAATAGTCAATATATTTAGAACTTACATTACAGGCAGTTCTGGAGTCTTATTTTCAACAATCACGCAGCTGAATTCCACTATGGATAAAATTTCATCTTGATAAAGTCATGAAGTGTTATCAAGTAATATTTACTGATCAAGTTTCACCCCAATTTATTGCTCATAGTTACATCAAGATATTCACATAACTTTCCACAATGGAATTATTATTCTACCACAGTGCCCAAGATTTATCATTATATCTATTCAGCTGAATATTGTTATATGTTGGTCTTCATTTCTTAGGATTAATCCATCTACACAGGAGGTGGATCAACAAAGTGTAAAATGAATGCATGCATTCCAGCCTGCCTGCACTCCACTCCACTCCTATGAGTCGTGGCCAATGAAAGTGGAAGAATTGAAGAGGCCAACGGTCGTCG